GTGTGTACTCTATGAGCTATGTAAACAAACCCAGTTCTCCCATAATTTCTGAAGGGAAAGGATCAAATCTTTGATAAATGTTTACTGTTTGCTTAAACGTGTGTTCCTGGCAGTTAACTTCCAATAAAACACTAGTTAATAAAGTTTGTGCAGATACAAATAAATCATTTAAATATGATATTAAAAATATTATATGAAAAACGTTGTGACATTTAGCGAGATTTCAAGTTAAGAATATTTTTTTTCTCTTAGGTTTGTGGAATTTCCCTCTAAAATTTGATACGTTCCTTCCAAGTTTTTATTCCTTGGCCTCCTCCCAAGGTTTACATTTTTCCTCCCAAGGTTCAATTTTCTAAAAAGATCTTAAAATTATCAGTCACTTAACTAAAAATTAAGTTTCTTTTAATGTCATTTTTCCTTTGCTTCTAATGAATTGTTCAACATATCATCTTAATTCACGTTATGAATATATATAATCTTTTACCACACAGAGGGGTATTCAGGGGGTACTATGGGGGCTAAGCCCCCCCCCCATGGACCAGTGAAATCTGTTGATTTCAGGGGTTTTCAGGCCCCAACGGGTGCTGAGCCCCCCCCTGGAAAGAGAAAAAAATTTAAGCCCCCCCCCCTGGACAAATTCCTGAATACGTCCCTGACCACACGTATTCTTGCTTTTTATAATTATTAAAACCACTACGACAGCAATATCCTCTTATTCCCTTTGTCCCCCACAAATATAATGTCTTTCCCTTGAATTCTTTGTTTTGATCTCTTTCCACTGCAACAAACAGATTCGACGTATTTGAATTGGTGGTTCTATATATTTCTTGGCTCTAAACATCACGATTGTACATATTTCCAAACACCTGCTTATAGAGAAATAAACACGAGCCAAATAATTGTCAATTTTGGCATTCATTCAATCTCAAGACAGTTTTTAATCAATTTCTTATTTTCTATCTGTGGGTGCAAGATGAACATTTGTTTAATTCAAGTATTAATTTTTGAAATTTGTTATCGAAAACTGGATACTCGTTGCCCAGATAAATAAATAAAAATATAAATAAATATCGATTTAAAACTTTTGTTCTACGATACTTAGAGTCGCAAATGGGGGGGGGGCTGATTTAGCCACCCCCTCTCATTCCTTGACTATCATGATTCTTGATCAGGATTGTAGACTCCTTTTTAGATCGCAAATAAAGAATAAAAATAACAAAGTTTTATTTGGCGTTTTGTCATCATTTCAAATAGAATTTATTACTATTATTTTCTATTTTTCAATTTGAAGTATTAAAAAAAAAGAAAGGATGACTCTTCTACCTGAGAACTGAACTTTTACTTCCTTTTTTATAGAACATTGAGCATCCTCAGTATATCAAGTACTGTAAATAAAAAGCACTGCTCTGGCCGGCTTCGAACTGGCTAACAATGTTAATAAATGAGTGCATCCTACCTACAAAAATTCATATTGTACTTTCGACCCACAAATATTGAGTATCCAACCCATAGAATGTACGAGTGACCTCCAAAAAGTGACCATCGAATAAACGAAAAAAAAGCTTTATGCTAATAAGCTGTTGTAGGTCGGATGTAGTGTAGGCCGGAACCATGTAAAATTACGCAAATATCTTTTAAATGATAACGTTGTTCCTTTGATAAGTTCCATATCTGTATGATTTACAAATTGACATGTTTTTTTTAGGTGATAAATATCACACGCATATATATATAAACCCTTCTTTAAATACATGCATGACGAATAAAGGACCAAGAACCCCATCTGCTAGTGCCAAGAACCCCATCTGCTAGTGCCAAGAGTCGAGGTTTTCTCGCACTGTTGTTTTTTTCCTTTGTCACATAATTCAATGTTAATGTCTTGTGTATAACTTTTAATGCTTCATAATTGGTGTGTTATGCAATAATATATCCAAAAACTCGAGCAAAAAAGGTAGGATTTGACAGTAGCGATCTATATACCTTTCACGTCGGCAAAGTTAGTTTTTCCTCTGGGTGTGATGAGGAATTTAGAATCTCTATTGTCATAACTTTTTTATCAAATTCGTCTAGGAGAAAAAGTCAACATTTTTTAAATGTATTATCGACAGCTGGTTTTAGCAATGCTTTAAAATGGTTTCTTTTGTTTTACTATTTTTTTATCCATCAAATGTCTACATAGGAATGTTAGAACATAAAATGCGTTTGCATAATGTTTATTCTAGGTTAGGATTGATAAATGACTTTGCCTTGTAATCTCTTAGACCCAGAGACAAAAATGTTTTTCATTCATAGAATATATACATACAATAGTATGAAGGTAGCCTGAGTAAAGATAGGAGAAAAACACACAATGTTAATGTTTATAGGAATTATAACTTAGAAAGCAGAGTACCAAATTAGTTATGTAATGAACTTATCTCATTCTATCTATGTTGGAAATCGAACAAAACAGATAAAGATTCTATGCTGAAAAAAGAAATAAAAACCCTGCATTAATTAGATTAATTTGCAGACAGTTTGTTAGATTTTAACTTGACTTTGGGTTGATTTGAAAACGTACACATTTTGAAGAAAACAAGTTTATTATTTTTAATTAAATCTAAAATTTACTTTCATAACATTAAAACTCTTTTTCTGGATTTACCAATAAAACATTTCATAGACAAATACTACATAGTTTATAAAATCTAAAAACTACCTAATCATTTCATATTTCATTTCATAATTTTATTCAACTACAAAGCACGAGATAATACAAATAAATAATCACAATTCACTATGTAGTTTGTACCCGCCTAACCAGAATTGGTTGTTTTGATTGATTGGCCCATTATAAAGCGAATAAGAATTGTAAATAAATAGATGGATGTACACTGTAAAGTGCACATTTTAAACAAAACAATGATGATAAATTAGGAATAAGGTAAGGAGGGGGTAAAAATGAATAAGGGAAAGGGTGGGTAATTAGCGGAAGGCTTTTTTTCATAGCTTCTAAGAATCAAGTTCGTGACTAATTGGAATATCTTTATGCTGTGCAGACGTCAAAGCTGCCACACTATCGGGAGAACGCTTCTCATGCAAATAATCTGATCTTCACAAACAGGTCCGAAAAATTATCCTGTTTAGATTAATCGAACTTTTAAAAGAACATTACATCGAGATAAGACTTCAATAAGTGAGGTACCAATACGTTTTATTTTGCTAAATTTAATATGCACATCTCGTATCCATTCACTTTTTTATATATTCGTAAAAATTGTGCTCTTTTGTAGAGTAAGGGGCGGTACCACATTACCATTCAGAGTGGTTTCTCTGTAAAAATGGTTCTGTCAATAATACAATCAGAATTCATCTTACTCGGATACACGGATCGGAAAGTTCCTAGAGGAGTGCCTAACTTTACAACAAAAAATATAAATATAAAAAGTATTATGAAATATTAAGCAGGCTATATCTAAAGGGCTGAAATTTTGATACCCAGACAAAATATGAGATGCGGCGAAAAACGAGTTGAAATCGTAACATTTAGACGAGGTTTGCTTAAGAAAGAGGTGCGCTCTTTTAATGGGCCGAGACGTAGCTCTTTAAGAAGAAAAGAACGCTCTCTGGTCTAGTCGGGTTAGTCACTTCTACACAGAAACTGAAGTGGAAAACTTTTGGATATAATTAGACATGAATATCTCCGACAAATTTTCTCAAACAAAATATTGTTATAAAATTGAAAATGTTACGGGTCACTTGTAACGCTCCATGAAACAGATATTCTTTTTTATCTTTTATAACGAAAGTAAGATAAGATTGTGCTGTTTTCAATACATACATGTTGGCAAATTGCACCTTAATTTAACGAAAATAAGATGCTATTGAACAATATTCGTCCAATTTAATTTAAACTTTAGACTAGATTTTTTCACTTCGTTTGCTTTTTATGTACTATTATGTCAATAGAAAGTTAATTTGTTTCCAGAAATTATTGTTCGTCTAAAATGCTAGGCTGTGTCGTAACGTAAATGATTAAATCAATAACCAGAAAACAATGAAATAGGAAAGCGACATTATAACACTAATTAAGTGTATTTGATGGTATTATAAAGCAAAAAGTTTTATCAAGCACTTGTGAAATGGGTCTGTTTATACTGCACAATTGCTGTGTTTCATGGTTATTGAACTTTCTAAAGTTAAAACTTGATTCTCAAAGTCGTCTTACTATTCCAGAGTTTTATAGTTATCGCTGCATATAATTAAGCTCTCTTCGTTCATATGCATATGGTAAAATAACGATAATGTTTCCGTAGAGGTAAGTTAATCGCACAATTATTTTCGGCCATTTTTGAATATCGCATACATTTTCTTCTTATGTCTTGTTTGCAGTGACTCAACCATTTATAAAAGTAAAATTTCTTTTCATAGATATGAATATGAAACTTTTTTCAACAAATATTTAAAGACTATAAATTTTTGCTATCCTGAGAATATTTGCTAGTTTTTATATATTAAGTAAGATTAAAATAGTAAGACCCATAAACCTGAGAAAATATAAGCATATTATATATTTTTATTCAAGTAAAGGGTACTGTGTTCAATGCACAATTGCTGTACAAAAAAATAAAATTCATTCATAGAATACATGAGTTGCAGTGTATTTAAATTTTAAATAAGATTTAATACTGGGGGGGGGGGTTATGAACTTGGTTGGGGGTTTTAAAATGAGGAGAGTCGGTTTTTTTTATAAGGGGATAAAGGTATTGACTATTGAGGTCAAAAGAGTGGAAGAGGGAGGGATTAGAATAACGGGACGTAACTCTGTTAGCTTGATCCTCTTATGTCTCCCGAAACTTTATAACCGTTCCTTTTATTGTATGACATGAACATGATTTAGACCGTGTTTCTGATTTTCTGCGTTAACAATTCAAAAGCGTTTTTTAACCAATTACTTTTCGAGTTTACGAGTTTTAAGTAAATACCGTTTTATACAGCTGATGTATAATAAAAAACGCTCGAGAAATCCTTGTTTTATTTCAATTTATTTTAGATAACGTAGAATAATTAAGGTCAAACACGACATCATTTTCTTTTGCTAATATTTATTTCATATTCACTAGTCAAAGCATCAAGCATTTCCAAAAAGAATGGAATTTCATTCGTTAACCTTGTTTTTGCCTTCAGAAGAAACCTTGCATGCAATGGCTCGAACTTTTGTACTGCAAAATAACAACGTGTCGTATTGTCCTTTATATACAGGGTTTCCTTAAGAGCAAAAACAAAGCAGTTTTTTTACATAAAAATCTCATAATACTAATTACTATACATAGATAGTTAAAATATGTAACCCAGGAAAAGTATTGCTGCTTGCAGAAAAAAAGAAATTTTCAATACTGAAGATTTACTTCCATAAGCCTAAAAATATTCATTTAAATTAGTTAATTTTAAATTTTGAATAAGAAACAAGTTTAAACTACTAGGTCTTCTTTATAATTATAAGGAGGGGAAAATCACAATCCTTTGAGGTCGTCGTACTTGTGTAAGATACCACCAAGGAGTATGGAATATATAGGAGAAGGAATCGACCCAGCCCGCCCTACCACATGATCATACATTCTTTGCATTTCATTTGAATAAGAAATATTTGTCTGATGTAAAACTACCGCGTACATGTCTTCAGAATAGGTTATTGTATAAAATGAACAGGAAACAAATGAGGCTGAATATTTTTGCATAAAAAAATACATTTTTTTTAATGCAAAAATATTGGCAATACAAATGTATTTTTTTTTATAAAAATATCGGTTTTATAATTGATATGGTGTAGAAAAAAAACATATAAAAAATAAAAGACGACCTTTTAAAATGTCATTTTCAATTGGAGTACCATCTGTAAGTTTAGCAAATATTAAGTTTAGCAAAAACAGTTGTTAAGATACTTCTAGACGCATTAACTCTGAAATATTTGTTTTAAAAAGTGTTCACTATATGTTCTTACCGAGTAAATTCTCCGGTATGGATAAAATATAGTAAAAAAATAAACAGGACCCGCTGAGCAGAAGTACCTCTATTTTTTTCATAGGGAAAACTTAGTTTCCAAGCAAAATTGGGTTTCCTAGCTAATATACATATATTTATATATTCTTATCTCTATATAAAAATAAATGTTTTTAGTTTGGTTTTAAAAGATGCTAGCTTGTAAACCCAGCTTTGCCTTGAAATCTGCACAAATTTTCAAACAAAGCTTATATATATATATATATATATATATATATATATATATAACAGAAGTAAAATTTACATTCATGACTATTTATATATATTATTCATGGATTTGTTCTCTTTTTGATACTCGCAATACTTACATTTAGAACAAACGAACAAGAACATAAGAATATGAAAATTTAAATCAAACCGCAAGGGATACCTTGTCAGGGTCTGTGAGTCTCAAGAGTCGAACCCTGCATCCTTCTTTAGTACACTCGATCTTCCCATTCATACCTTAATCAAATAATCAACTCAGTCACCAAGTCTATGTTTAGTATATATAAGTTGTTAAGAGATCTAGACCATCTGTGAAAAGTTGCATCAATATCTTTTCGATGAAGGCTAGGTCAACTTTTAAAGAGTATCACGCCTTGGCCTTCTTTTTAGCTTTCGTTTAAATAAAGTTATTGGCAAAATTCTCATCTACTTTGGGTAAGAGCTTGTTACCTATTGGACCGTTCTGCTTTATAAAAACTGGGACGGATATAATGAATTTGTCCATATCTCTTAAATGTAAACTCCACGGCGCGCGGTAGGTAGCTCAGCGACCTAGCTCAAATTCATTAAATTTGGTATCTGGAAATTTATTTATACCATACATTGTTTTAATAAAGTACCGAGTGAAGTAAAACTCGCAATTGGAAATTACCAATTTCAACATTAAAAACCTGTGCATGTGCAGACGTTACAACTATCTTCAGTTAGCCAAATATCTCCAGGGAATTTAGTTACTCCGTCATTTAATCTGGGTAATAAGGATTATTAAAAAAATGGTTGACAATTATTTAAAGTCGTCTTTGAATATACTGACTTGTTTATTGGGACATTCTGATAACCTGTTGTACTACTATCCAAGTTTTCTGTTTTTCGGGACTTTGCTATTTTTTGGCGTGCGATTACGTTACTTTGGATTCCTGGTTTCAGATCTTTTTAAGAATACATTTATATGAATTCTTAATATAAACAAATCAAAAATGTCTTAACAAAACATGTGCTTTGTACCGAGTATAAGACATATGTTTCTTTAATATGGACTACCTTTCTATTGTCTTCATTAGCTAAAATTCTGTCAACGTTGAAATGTTTTAAATGTATGTTTATACATCATTTATGTAAATTTGAAATGTTCAAATTATAATCAATTTATTTTCAAGTCATTATTGCTTTTTAAATTTAAAAACAAAAATATACATATACAATTTGTATTTTAACCTGCAAGGAGAGTCGCCAGTTTCGTCAACAATATCCCCAAGTTCAGTTTTTGCTTTTTTTTCGACCCCGTCATGGCGCAAGCAGAGTTTTCTGCAAAATAACGTTATAATAACTAATACAGGTAAGCACTAACTAGCTAGTAAGAGTACTTATAACGTTACAATACAACGGATTTTAAACACATTTGGAAGCCAATTTTTTTTAGATAGGTTTCCAGCTGTAATTAAACGGCGATTTCTTGCTTCTAAACAAGCTTGAAGACAGATAGGTTAACAGTAAAACCATGGAAACAAAAAGAAGCTGCTAATTAAAAGTAAACCTAAATTCGTTGCTAGTAAAATAGCATTGCTTTTTGGAATCAGATCTGAAAATATTAATCTGAACGAGATGAAAAGGGCTGTAAATACTCGCCACCTGATGTTGATCAGATTCCGTATATGAACATATGAATTCTAAAGCACAACATGTCAAAGTTTAAAGTTTTAAAGATCTACGTCATCAAGGTTGCAGAGATATAAAAATAAAGTTTTTGGCGAGTAATAAGTTCTGTTATACACATATTGAGAGTAACTCTAAAATTAAAACTGTATGTGTGAAAAGGTTGTATAAAATTTAACATGTTTATGTGCCTGCACGAGAACAAATTAATATTAAATCAAAATTGCAGAATACTTTTTAATATACATAGAAGAAGAAAGGTTTACTTAGTGCAAATTATCCCGAGTGGTCCACATGCACACTTGTTACATCCATCAGCTGATAACCAGCTTTCTTCAGAAAATTTAATATTTCCAATTGTATCATTGCACACAGAAAGGAACTCCCGAGACTACAATAATATCTTTGTATAAATACAGTATCACAAGTTTTTGATTTTCATTCAAAAAATACACCTTTTTTTGATATTTTGATTTTTGAATCATTTTCAAATAAAATGATAAGTTTGACCAACATTGATTTTTCTAAAATTGATAATTTGGCTCCTCCAATAAAATAAAAATTACAAATAAATTTCTAAATGGGATTTAGTAGATTAAAAAAAATTATCTTATACTTCTTGCAAGCAAAGTTTTCGCGTGCATCTTCCACCATATTCTTTGCACACACAAGTGTTGCATCCATCAACATGTGTATATGAATCTCCAGGCTAAAATAAAATAACATTAATAAGAAATAATTGAAACGTTCTAAAAAATAAAGGTAATTTTATTACAAGCAACTATCAAAGCAAACAGAGTATGTATATGACGGTTCTCAATCTTTAGCTGCGTTTTGAGTACTTGGACAACATTTTTACTCTTTCTTTGAATTGTCGTACATTTCACAATTTTTTGTTATTCATAATAAATTACCTCGTGGATGTTGCCATTGTTATCAATGCACAAGTTAGCCTCAGCCTCAACCTTATCAACAGTTGGGTCGCAGAACTTTCTAGGGTAAACAAATCATGATTTTTCAGGAATGATGGATTTACATAAAATTCATCACTAGCATCATCAGGAAATCTAAGCAAATATCAAAAACTATGAAGAACTCTAGAAAATAATGGAAACTCAACTTTAAATAAAAAAGCCAACGAGAAATGTACAACTAAAATACAACAAACATTGGATAAGGCAAAAGATTTACAAGAAAAAATCTTTGAGGAAATTAAGAATGGAACCGAACTTAACATATCAATTTAGTAAAAATCGACCTCATAGATACTTTACAGAGCTAGATGTGATTTGCTGAAAAACATGTTTGCAAAACGATTTTTCCGGATCTATTTCATGAGGAATAATCGTACCGTAAACTTTATTTAAACATGTTACACCTAATTCTGTGAAGAATTTAGGGGGTTAGATGTATTAAAAGGTTGGTAAAGAAAGTTTCCGCTCATGATTTCTGAAATTGTTAATGATTTCTATTATTAACAGCTTCCAGAATGGTTCCGTACGGCGACGGCGGACTTTACGGATTCAAATGAATCTGGAAAACATTTGAAATCCTAAATACCACAGTGGCGCAATAAACAGTTGACACATTGAAGGTTTCTAGTCTTGAGATTTAATAAATAATAATAATAATAATAATAATAATATTATTATACCCTCAAAATCTTCTGGGATATCATTTTAAACAACGAGCACTTTAAAGCGCTTGTTTTAGCTTCTCCTATTTTTGTGCCATAAGTGGGGCATTTTAGTTCTCAGGGAGTGTATGAAAGTAAAAAAAATGCAACTGCAACTTCATTGTCATCGACAGAATTAAAATAACATTTTTAAAAATATATCTTACTTGGTACACCCGCTACCAAAAGGCATACATTTACACTTGTTGCATCCATCTGGACCTATGGAATAAATGTAAAAAAGCAAAATCAAAATAGCGGAGATAAGGTTGTGAAGTCGGTTAAAATGCCAATAGAACACACTGAACTAGACAGAAGGAGAAGCTCAATGAACTAAGTTGTTGCTACGAATTAAATTTGCTAATCCATATATTTTGGCAACTTGATGGATTAAACCTTTAATATTTCAAACTTAGCTAAAACAATTCATACTTCGAGTTGTAAAGATATAGGAATTTTAAGTCTGAGTTTGTGCAAAAATCTGAGTTAGCTAATTTGACGTAAATGCGGAAAAGATAAAAGATGAGATATGTTAGGGAGCAACGCTCGGATAAGGAAGGACGCTCACTAATTAGGGTGGAGAAGATATAAAAGAACTTATGTCCGAAAATTCACACATCCACGTAGTTTTATCACCTGTCGACTCTTTAAAATCTTTCCAAATACACCTTTTTCGGAGTAATTTTTTCAAATGATGATTTCCCACAAGGATATTTCCCGAATCTTAATTTGTGCTGAAAGAGAAAAAACCTCTACAGTTTCGATGATCGGCTGACCTGTTTTGTCACATTTTGACGCGCTTTCAAGATAGAACAAAGACAAAGAGGGTTAGACAAATTTAATTTGGTGAGAAGGACAAGAAAGGTCAAATTGATGAGGTCGTTAGAGAATAACATTTTACTAAAAAGAAAGAAAAAGTAGAGACCATGAAACAATTTAAGAAGGATTTACAAAATTAAACCAGCAACAGTTTCACCTATATAAGACTCTGAGAGTTTATGCTTAGCCCCGGCGACGTCTATGCAGTCATCTATATAATCTAAATATTTCATTTTTAGGTAAAACAAATAATTTAGGAAAACATTATAATAATTATAATAAAAATATACATAATAATAATAATAGTAATGACAGTAAAATTATAAAAGAAAAAAATATTGGAGATTGCAGTTAGAGGTTAAAAGTTTTTCAAGTTGACATGTTTCTATATTACGACAAAGGGTCAAACGACAAAGGGTCAAACAAAAAAGGGTCAAACGACAAAGGGTCAAAAGTGCGACAAAGGGTCAAATGACAAAATGTCAAAATGATTAAAAAATTTTTGATTTGAATCATAGGAAACTCACAACCCCTCTATCAATTTTGTACATGGATCTTATATGTTAGACATGGATATAATTGACCATGTGGCCGCAGCGCTCGGCCCCCCTAGCCTGTCCTAGCCACAGCGCTAGGCCCAGAAAGTCTCTTAACTAACCTAACCCGTGGCCGCAGCGCTCGGCCCCCTAGCCTGTCCTAGCCACAGCGCTCGGCCCAGAAAGTGTCTTAATCTAACCTAACCCTAAATAATAATAAATAAATACTAACTGTAACAGATGTGAAAATTTAAAGATAATTTGCCCCTATGTCGCTTTTTTTGACCCTATGTCGTTTTACCCTTTGTCGCGCTTTTGACCCTTTTTCGTTTGACCCAGTGTCGTTTTACCCTTTGTTGTTTGACCCTTTGTCGGTGAACCGATCTGAAGTAATGAATGCGAGTAAATTCCTGCTCAAATCTTTATCTTTACAATTTATCCAGAGCTGAAAACTTTAGAATGGTGGATATCGAGATCCTCTCTTTTTGCTAATCTCAAGACTAATCTAGTCTTTAAATCAACTTTTAGGGATTAGAGATGCACATTTAAAATTTGGATTAATGTTTATTAAGACTAACGTTCTTAAGGACTATATGTCCTCAATGTGTTTATTAAATTAGCATGATTAAATTTATATTTGTCTAAATAAATCTAAAAAGCAGGCTTGTGAACTGCTTACTTTAGTTCAGTCCGATTTTAAGCAATCTAGATCCGAGATAACTATACTCAAAGTCTAATTAGAATCTAACTGACTCTAACTCTAGCCAAAACTCAAGACTCTCTATCCTTAGCCAAAACTCAAGGCTATGTATACGTCCGTATTAAACGAAAAATCGTATTGAACTAATTTATTTTATATACAGGTGAACAAAACTGACCGGCTAGCCCGGCAGGGTCAACATACAGATACAGATAACTAAGATATATATTACTAGCATGGATAACATAGATTACATTACACATTGATAAAGAATATATTACAGGATATTAGTCCAATCGATGTATCATCATATCTGTATGTGTAATCTAACGTGTCTTTATTACATAAAGTAGAAAATGTGATATCCAGTTAAAGAGCAGATTAAGAAAAATTAAAAGTTTCTACAGAGCTGAAAACTTTAGAATGGATAAACTTTAATCCTGACTTCTTGATCCGAATATCCACTGTGGAAACTTTTCATTTTAGTCCTTAATCCACTCTTTTTCTCTCTCCTTGGATATCCGTTGATTGTTTTCTCCAATGAGAATATTTCTGTTCTCTCATTGGTTGCCCGCTTTTCTCTGATTGGCTGCTACAGTTTCTCAGATGATTAAATATTAATTTGAATTTTATCGTTTTTCATACTCTTTTAAGATAATCTTGCAAGATTATGTTAATCTGGAGATTAAGAAAAAGAGTGGATTAAGCCTTAATCCCGATATCCACCATTCAAAAGTTCCCAGCTCTGTTGATATTTAGATTGGATGATCAGGATAAGGGTATCCAATTATAAAGTTTCAACTCAGAAGTCAGAATGTGTGTTGAGTATATCGGAAACAAACATTGATCCCCATTCTCCATCTTATACAGATCCACGGATAAATTTAATTCCTCAAATTTAAAAGTACCCATATAAATTGGATATCGAAATCAAGTGTTCAAGATTTATAATATCCCCACAAAAGTTCCTTTATCAGGGCGGATTGAATGACAGAATTTATCTAGCATATCCTCTCATTGTTGTGCCCTAAATCTTTCCAGGGAGTTATTTAAGTCAAGACTTATTTAAAATATGCAACAGTTTAATTAGAAATGTATACTCATGTTCATGTTATTGTTTGTACATTTATTCGCATTCCTTTTTGAAGTCTACAATTCTTTTAAAAATATATATATACAACCTCATGGAGTTGATTGGGTGAAGGGTTTTTCTTTTTCAAAAAGTATTGGTGCCAGAAATTAGTAATGTCATAGATCGAGCAACCCTGTGAATAGTAATTTTTTGTTCTCTGTCTGTCTTTTTAAGATGGGTTGAAGATATTTAGGTTACCAATTAGTCTTCTTGTTCTTTTCAACTCTAAGACTTTTGTAAATTTTGAGTTGTTATTATTTAAGCACCCTATACTTAAATTAGAATTTCATTGCAAGCAGCTGTTAAGCTTATTATATCTACTGTAAACTTCGCTGGAACTGTTAATGACTGTCTGTTTTGTTATTATATGTTATGCATTGTTGATTTTTCGACGGAAATGTCATTTCCCTGTTTCTCCTTCTCTTTGTTAACTTTGTAAATTTAAACACAGAAACGCCCAAGACCCATCACCTCCTCTCTTTAAACAAATATTTGAACATACTGATGGAAATATTGGAAAATAAACACACGCATTAAATATCCCATAATGTTAATGTGCATAGATATTGAAATGTTGATTGGATTATCATTAAACTACCTTAATTCGTACATATGAAAAGCATAACATAATGTTTGTTATATAAAAATTACAATGTATTAGTGAAAAAGGAAATGCAAGTTTCTATGGAAAACAAAGCCTATAGGTTAAATAGGTTAATCTAGGAGAAATTACTTTGAATGGATGATATTATAGAATTAGATTGAGAGGCGGACTCATTGAGTGTAATTTCTTTAATGTGAATTTGGAAATAATCAGTTTATGTTTGGCAGAATTTCGGTCAAAGAAACAAAAATAATTGCAACAACTAGCTGGACTGGAGTGCATGTAGCGTTAACGAGGTCTCCTTGATTTGTTGGGGCTTAATAGACGTTGTTTTTTATGCAATTACTTCTACCTGGCGGACTCATTGAGTTTAATTTCTTTAATGTAAATTTGGAAACAATTAGTTTATGTTTGGCAGAAGAAACTAAAATAATTGGAACAACTAAAACAAAAAATAGATTTCGTCACCCCCAGTGTTCCCTTAACAAATTTCAGCCCATTTGGTCCAACTTTTATGTGAGGCATATTGTACATATATATTTATATATAATCAATTTATTATTCAATCAAAAAACAGATAAACATCCTAATACACAATGTTTCATGGACCGACTGTCATGTTTTTATTTAAAAATATTTTTGTACTAAATTAAGTTTCACGTCTCACGACAACTATACAATATACATATTGCATAATATGCATATTACATACAATACAATAAGTGCTTAAACATTTGTTGATGAATTAAATAGATTGAGTAAATGATAAAAATACATTATTAATTACATGCGTTTTATCCTACATAATACATCTAGGCGTTTTATACTTTGATACTATTAAACATATGTGATGAGAAATTAGTTTTAATTTTTTTAATATCCCAAGGCCTCTCATTCTATCCTAATTAGTATTTATACATCTGCTGAAAAAAAAACATTTCGTGTTATAAAAAAGTACCTAACATAACGTTTTAAAAACATTTAGATTGTAAACCATTAAAGATTTAAATAAATATAAAAACCTACCTTGAGCCAAAATAAATCCTGGGAAGAGTAAAGTAACCAGGATTCCTACCAACATTTTCTTAAATACTCGCAAAATCTTTTAATCTTTTAAACGTATTCAAATCAAAGAAAAGTCTCACTTTGCAGAGAGAGCCTTTGTATCCTGAAGAGTAAGGACTTGGAACAGTGAAACACTCTCCGACGGAGTAAACGTATGACTAACAAGTGCTCAGGCGCTCACATATTTCACAGGTGCAGGTAGGGTTTCCAGCGAACGAAACGTTTCGCGGAAAAATGCTAAAATTTCCGGTCGCATTTCGCAAATATTTCATGGAATTTTCGGGTTTTTTGCAGACATTCCATTTTAATCGCGAAATTTTCCCTTTTTTGTTGAAAATTTTCGCGCTTTTTCGCGAAATTCTCGCATTTTCTATTTCGCAAAAATAAAGCGAAATTGTCGCGAAAATAATGCTAAATTTTCGCAAAACTTTTTTTCTTTTTCGCTGGAAACCTAGTGCAGGGAAGGGACAAGCAAAATTCGGGTGGGAATTCCCGAATTGTTAGCTAGAGCCTAGATTGATTGTTGTGTAGATACATTTAAATATTTAGAGGGATAGATAGAGAGATGGATAGGTGTAATAGGTGGTAGTTAGTTAGGTAGGTAGGTATTATATTAAGGGTATTAAAAAATAACGTTCTTGAAGGTAAAACGACTCTTATACATGGTTCGGTTTTTATATTTTCGAATTCTGAATAAAATTACCGAACAATGAACATCAATGAAAAATATGAAAGTTAAAACATTTAAAAATTTAAAATTTTGGCTTGGATGATTATTGATATCGAGATATTCTGAAACGTAAAAGAAACAAGATCTGTTCAACAATGTATATTTTATGAAATAAGAGATATTAAATATACATAAAAGATACAAAATCTTGAAATAAATGATCTTCACTCTGGCCCTTCTTGTTATACTTTGATCGTATCTTATTTGAAATGTCCACTATTTTTCATTTCTTAGCTCTAGCTCTAGTAATTTCCATCTCTAATAAAAATTCCGATTCATTTAATTCCCGGCCTTGGTTTAGATTTTTTAAAAAGAATTTTCTTCTTTGAGACCTTAACTAAATTACATAATATGGATGAAAAACACAGATAACAAATTTTTTAACTCATTCAAACAAAAGGATCGAATTTTAAATTGACATAATTTCCATAATTTTGGTGCTTCAGACGTCATTTTTGGAGTCTTTCGATCACAAATATCCAAAATTATAAAAAATTAAACCCGAATAAAGAAAGTTTCATTAACACCTTGTGGAAATAGTTAATTAAGACAATTTAAAAAAAAATAGAAAAATAGTTAAATGCATACATTTCTTAGTTTTACAAGCTTCAAATTTCCTGAATTTGCCTCAGATTTTGGTTTGGGATTCGTTAGAACTACTGTTTATCGTTCTTTTCTTATTACTGAAATCATGGAACCCACTGTGGATATCAAACTTTTGTGTTTTTCTTGGAAAACCATAAATATTTTTTTTTATATTTTAAATTTGTACAAAATAAAAAAATGTTAAACAAATGATGCAATACTTTTGCAATACTTGAAAGCATGGGCGCAACTAGCACTTTTCTGAGGTGGGGGCGAAAAATCCAATATGGGTTAGAGGGGGAGTACTGATAATAAACATGACATTTACAAAATAGACAAAATGTTGTAAGCAATCTTTGTTTACATCATTATATCAAGAATAGGATGTATACTTCATACAGGGTCACCCACAAAGGATGAGTTGAGACTTCAGAGACGATTGTGCGTAATTTGTTTAGTCCGTTTCTTGCATCCAGGTTCCTTGTATGTCAAAACTGGCTTAGTTAAGACAAAAAATGGCCTTTCAACTACTTTTTAAGGGGGAAAACACCCTTTTGCAGATGGGGACAAGCTATATTTTTACCTACAGGGTGTCCCACGAAACATGACAATAGCAAGACGACTTGAAAGTCGTCTTTGATATTTGAATTTATTTGTGACATTTAGTCTTCTATCTACTTTAACATGTATGATCGATTCTTGAAACAATTATCACATAATTTTCCTAGCCCAGGCATTTCCAAAAAGTGGTCTGCGTTTTTTGTGCTTTCAATATTTCCTGAGATATAAAGAGTTTGGTTCAGATTTCAATTTTGTTAAATAAAAGCAAAATTGTCGAAATCTGAACGAAATTGTTCATATCTCGGGCAATATTGAAAGCCCAAAAAATGCAGACCACATTTTGGAAATGGTAGGACTAGGAGAATTTTGTGATTATTATCTCTAGAAATTTACTTCTAACATTAGGTTGACAAATAAATGCAGCAAATTATATCAAAAATCAAGACGATATTCAAGTTGTCTTGCATACTGTCATGTTTCGTGGGACACCCTGTATTACAACACCCGATTTTAAATTTTGCCCATAAATCCCAGAGTGGGCAAGAGTACTATAGACCCTCCCTTATATGCACCCGGTAACCTTGTACATTAAACATGACGTATTACAGACCCCGCTACATTAAAAAACATATACTTGTTTCAAGGTCGTCTTCAATAACCCACATTTTGAAAATATGTAATGCAATTTTAATCTAGAAAGCCAGAACGTTTGTGTTACAGATGAACATATTATTTCAATTCCTATTCGATATCCTGTGATGGTCATACCCTAAAGGGATAAAATTAATTTAGATACAGGGTGTCCCAAAAAACATGGGAATTCAGTGACGAATTCGATATCGTCTATGTTATGAATTAGCATTGTAATACCTAATTTCAAAAACCATAATATTATTATGTCTGCTAGAGTTTATTTAATGAAAAGGGTAAAAGACCGTAAAGATGTGTCTATAATGTCTCCGCAAGATGAACAGTGAATACGGACAAGTTTACTTTGTTTGTATACTGTAATTTTCTTGTTTTACTAAGTACAACCGTATGCAGTCAAAACATAAACAAACAAAATGTAAACATAGCAGACGAAACTCTTACAGATTACAGCTTTCTCAGTAGGTATCACTATACTAAATCAAAGAATTATTTGAAAAGACGATATCGAATTCGTCACTGAATTCACATGTTTTTTGGGACACTCTGTATTAAACAATCCTCAAATTTAAGACTGCCCAGGCGTTTAACATATTATCAAGCAAGTTTCACATTTTAAATATACCAATAAATTAATTGATGTGTGACATCCAGGACCACTCTAAAGATAAGGATTTAACTATGTGAAAAATTTATGAATTAAATGATAAAAACGTATCTTTATTATTTATTCATCATATGAATATAGAATGTTTTGAATAATTTAAGGCAAGAAATATGTATATATATATATTTCTTGCCTTAAATTATCATATATTATATTATATATTATATTATATTATATATAATTATTATATTTTATTATATATTATATTTAATTATATGTATATATATATATATATATATATTGTTCCATGATTTAAGGTGCGCATGTAATATGTATTCATTTGAACTATACTAAAGTAATTACTACTAAATATATAAATAAATGGTTAATCCATTTATTTATATATTCAGTGGCTCTAATCTTAAAGACTTACATCTAATATTTTGTAATTATCCTACGATAGATCATGTTTACTTTTTCTGATTATCTATTCCCCGATATTTACGGCAGGTAAACCAAGAATTAAGGGTGGTACGAGCAGCCGTTGGGCGTGGGAGGGGGGGGGGGGGTTTGAAAACAGGTATTAGGCCAATTGCCTGGAGCCCAACAAAAGCAGCCAGGTATAGAGAGATGTTTGAAAGGTAGACAGATAGATACTAATGCAGGTAGACACATAATTACCTGTTTTCATGGTTTGTTTAGGCGGTTGGCGGTGTAGGACTCACACTGAAATTCTGAACAATTATGCTGGTTACAGCTTGAAAAGTGAAAAAGACATGGAATAAAGTTATTGGAGCAAAGTGAAATCTTCGATTCAAAAATGAGAACTCTTTATCGAACCTGGCTGGTTGTTTTACCTTTGAGTGCGCTTTTGCTGTTTGTCAGCGCGCGCATCGAAGCTGATGATAGAGAGAGCTTCTTTCTTAGGAAATAATTTATTTATTTTGTTCACATAATCCCCTATCTTCTTAATTGTCTTGTCAAGGTTGAATAAGCTGGGTTACTCTCGATGCGGTCCAATGTACGGAAAATGTCGTCTCCAAAGAGAGATAGATAAAAACCTAATTTATCGTCTCTTATATAAAATATAATCTCCACATAATTGCCATAATACATACATAGGGTAAACAATATATAAAATAAATAGTTGCAGATTTTTATCTTATCTTATCTTATCTTATCTTATCTTATCTTATCTTATCTTATCTTATCTTATCTTATCTTATCTTATCTTATCTTATCTTATCTTATCTTATCTTATCTTATCTTATCTTATCTTATCTTATCTTATCTTATCTTATCTTATCTTATCTTATCTTATCTTATCTTATCTTATCTTATCTTATCTTATCTTATCTTATCTTATCTTATCTTATCTTATCTTATCTTATCTTATCTTATCTTATCTTATCTTATCTTATCTNCCCCCCCCCGTTACGGCAATTCTTAAATAATACTTCATTTCTTATTAAATGAATTATTGATCAGAGATTATGTTGATCCATTTGAAGAAGTGAGGATGAAAATGGAATCCGTCACAGAAGAGAACTGTGGAATAAAGGTATCCAAGTCTAACACAATACTCCAACGAATCAATCTAATTCGCTCATCTTATATATAATATATTATATATTATATAGCTGACCAAACATCTGGACCAAATTGGACGACATTTTTTAGTCCATTGGTATCCTTAAAGTGAGTAGGCTAAACAAATGTTGGAAATTTTTATAATTCCACGGACAACGCCGGGCACTTCAGCTAAAATCTTGATTTAATACCAATCGCAGGTATACGATGAAAGCAACTATGAATAATAATTTTAACTTGGGCAACGGTGGGGGCACTTTAGCTAGTTTCTCATATAACCCGGAAAATTAAATGAGTTAACTATCATCCAAGAATTTGTCTTGTGACGGTGAAGTTGACATTTTATAAAATATAAGGAATTAATGTACTTTTGATGTATCCAGTTTGATTTTGTTAAGATAATGTTATGCTAAAATGATTATGAAAATAACTGTTGCCTCTTTAGCATGTTGGAGATCTATATCTACACAAGGACACCGTCTCCCATATTCCCGACATCAAAGAGATTAATATTAACCCCGTGTTCCCGAATAGAACTGCTTTACTTCATTTACACAACATGGCACTTTCTAGGTGATTTTGAATTTTTTATAAATCATCATGATATTTTACTGTGAGAAGAGTAAACCCTAAAGTAGAAAGACGACTTATAGACCTAAGTTATGACTTTAATAAACATGAGATGGTGAATTACAGCAAATGCGCTATAGTGTATCTTGATAAGTGATTAGATAAACTATTTGCTTTGTTACAACATCAAAAAGTATTTATATTAAATCATCTTGGCTATCTGGAACTGATACTACAGTTCATTGAACAAACCCGCCGTCCGGGAAGTTGCAAACCTTTGTTTACATTTTTTGTTAATTTTGAATTGATAAAAATAATATCTAATAGTCCAAATGCGTCACAGCCAAATATTTACTATATATTCCTGAAATGTATATCAGGAATATGAATATGCAATGTATATATATATATATATATATATATAAATATACATATACATAGATAGAGATATATTTACATATACAAATAAGAGAATAAGTATTCAAAACATGATTTGAAGTTTTATTGTATCGCCATTATGTTTCATGTAGGCATTCTTCAGGATAAATATAAATATACATGATTCCTTACATATATACACATCTATATTGTTTATATATGTATATGAATATACAGGAATTTATCTGAATTTTTTATAGAGCTTTCTTCTTCTCATTCGCACTTCAGACAAGATTCAATAGACCCGGAGTAAATGATACGCATGACCCAGGTACAGATTTTTGTCTTTTTTAGAAATTAAAATTTCCGTTTTTACATAGATTTTATTTTTATTAAGGGCACTACTTATGATTATTTTTCTAGGATTAATGTATTATTATCTCTCTACTGTGGCAGATGTTGCAGCAAATCCTAAGGAATTCATTTATTCTAAATTTCTTTACTCTTTGAAGTTGGGAAAAGGAAGAGAATGCCAAGAGTTAAAGATCACATGAAAAAAAAGTTCAAGTATGAATGAATCGTTTTAGTTAAATGCAAGTGCAATATACTTCTCTCCTAATATGGCGTATTCTCCTTCTTACAAAGGATTTTTTAATCTTACCTTCCCACTTTATGCTCCAAGAACATACAGGTAATATTTTAATTTTTACCCTTTTTGTGTAATGGGGTTGAAATTGAAACGTTAATTTGTAATCCTACAATTTATAATTACTGGGCTTTTAGGCGCTTTGCGCCCATCATCTTCTATTAAAATTGTGAACATGTTCTTTCTGTTTACATTTAAAACAAAGAAGAAACAAAGAACCTGTAAAATCATTCGTTGGGATGTTTAGAAAGATGAAAATTTCCCT